TTAGTAAAAACTATACTATGCCTCTTAGAACTTGGTGTTTGTGTAAAAGTTTGGTGTTAAAATACTGTGGAGATATTAATCTAACAATTTCTGTGTCAAATTTGTATAGTGTGCATTTATTTTGTCGTGCAGGGCGCTATGCGAAACGTCCTTTGTTTACCTCTACCCCTGACCCGGAAGTTTATTTTTGACATTGGTGACACATGCAGACGATTATCTCAAGAAAAAGGCCAACATGTTATGTTGAAATTTTGATATTTTACTCCCAAGATATATTATTCTTATACAGTACATAAGTTTGCATTGTGAGATGTTATACTTGTACAATATAATTTGTTTGGCAATGCGATATGTTATAGGTATATAGTAAATAATTTGGCCTGGTGATATGTTATAGTTATAAATTACACAATTTTGAATTGTGAGATGTTTTACTTATACAGTATGCTATTTTGAATTGTGATACATGATACTTGAACAGTACACAATTTGGCTTTGTGGTATATATGTTACAGTTATACAGTATACAATTTTGCATTGTAATACATCATAGTTACAGTACACAATTTGGTATTGTCATATGTTATACTTGTACAAGTTTACAATTTGACATTTAAACAGAGGAAAACAATAAAAATCCTTTTACTTCGTAAGAACTTGTTTGTATTTTATGCAGATATGCACACGTTTGTACACTGCTACACATACACAAGTTTATATACATATACTCGCATACAGAGCTATACATGTTCATGTATAATATACATATTCACATATATTCAGTACCCACGAATGAAGTCCCTTATAACTTGGTGTTTGTGTATATTCACATATAAATATAGACTATACTCAACAAATACATACATGTAACTACTCATAATCTAGGGAGATCAATGTTTTAGGAGTTGACACATTTCAGCAGTGTACATTATACCCTTTTTGGGTGTATAAGATACATATATATTAGCAAGTTATTAGCACATGTATATATTAATGTGTATAAAGGGCTACACATACATATAAAAAAGGCAACAATATCTGATTAGTGTAATTCTTAAGGGTATATGGGTGACCAACTGTTTGAGGTTCATTCACTTGGCTTTGGTTTTCAAATAATTTCGGGTTTTTTTTGGACTTAGGTGAATGGGTTTTTCCATTCATTCCAAGTTTTGTTGAATATTTGGATTTGCATGTTTTTTTGTGACAGGATCATTTCGTATGTAAATGTTTGAGTTAGATATTCTTTCAATCGTATTATTGAGAGATTTCCTGTTTTCTTTGAATTACAGAATATGTAGTATTTAGTGTATATAATGATGATGTTAGTTTGTTTTGTTTCATTAGTATCTCCTGTGACCCCAAATAGAATTGTACTTATATCAAGGTCAATATTTTTACCAAGTTTATTATGAATCCATCTTCTAAGATTTTCCCACAAGTTGTGGGTTTCATACATTCCAAAATAAGTGTGCTATTTGTTCAGGGTGTGCTCTACAGAGTGAACAAGTATCAGAGTCTTTAATACCAATTGTTTTTAAGTATGAATTAGTGGTAATATTCCGGTTCATGATTTTATATTGGAACCATTAGATTTTTGTTTCTTTTTTGGTTTGGAAGGGTAATTGATATATTTGGTTAAAATTAATTGCACTAAATCTATCATCTGATTTCCATTTTTTTTCTGCTGTATTTTGACATGTATTTTGTTTATTCAATAGTGTGGTGTACATATCTTTACTTCCCTTGATGAATTTAAATATTATTTGTAGATGAAATGGAATGAAGAGCCTGGGGTGGTTGTTCTTTCATTTTGTTAAGTCTATATTCAGTGTATGTACAGCTTTTTTAATTGATTCACAGATGCTTCTATACTGGAGAAAGTTGTTTGAGTGTATTTTGCAGAATGTCATATACAAATTTTACACCTTTGACATGCATGTTTTTATAGAGGAAAGAGTAATTATTGATCAAAATATTTGGGTTATACCATAGTGTTGATTCTTGAAAATTTGTAAGTGTTTTGGGAGGATTGTTTTCTGTGATGGTTACCCAAGCTTCAAGAACATCTTTCCAGAATTTATGGGTTGATTTGATAAGTTTTAAGTGGTCTACATTGAATTGTGATATATTGTGTGTGCAAGTTATTTCCGCTTTAAAATAATTAATACATTCTTTTGTTTTTGCTGTGAGAAGCCGTCTAATCCAAATGTATTTGAGGCTAATAATAAATGTATCTAAGTCAATCATTTGTAATCCTCCGTCTTTATAATATTTCACCATAGTTTGTCTTTTATTTTTTTGTGTTTGACTGTTATATGAATTTGAAAAATGAAGTGTTTAAGTACTGAACGGTGTTTTTGCTCGGGTTAGGTATTGCAATGAACAGATGTTTTATTTTGGGGATTATGAGAGATTTAAGAACTACTTCAAATCCACCAATCCATCGAAATCACTCATCAACATTTGAAATAGATATTTGACAAGTTAATCGAATTGTTTAGATCGGCTGTTCTTTTGTGCGCGCTTACATTTGTCACGCCATAATTATATTTCACAAGCTGGGCAGTACACTTTTTGTTGCTATTTAACCTTCATATATTTTGGAAGGATTTTTCATTTCCAGTCAACATTTTACCGATAAACGATATGCAATTAGCTCTGACGTCCAGCTTTCTACCGGATGTTTATTTTAATCAGTCAAATTCACCAATCCATCGAAATCACTCATCAACATTTGAAATAAATATTTGACAGATTATAAAAACTATTTCTAGTCACGTTCGCGGTATGTTCAGCGGAACAACTGACCGTGAGCTTGACACGTGTCAAGTACATCAAGAAATAAAAACGTGTTTGTCTGTTAGCAAATACATACATTTGGTCCGTGTAACCTGATTCGACAAGGGAAACCAGTTCCACAACTCATTTGTTTATATTTGCGGGAGAGGTTTTTGAAAGAGTGCTGGTCTGTTGGAAAATAATACATGCACGTGTACGGCCTATCGTCAAATAATACTAGTTATCAACAAATGAAATGTGTCGTTACATCAATTACGTGGTAGAATTTCTATTATATATCAATATTTGATACATTGAAAATATGTTTCATTCTGATACCTACCATACGTATTTGTTACCAGAGGTTGATACAACGTCATCAATAATATTCAACATCGTCTAAAACTTCAGCTCGATACAAACAGACTTACTTATACTTTGCGATACGCTCCATTATTATATTTTGTGTGATATCGATTTGGCATCGATCATTTAAAAAACATTTATTGGTTTTTCATGTTTATAGTCTGAGCATGCTGTAGACAATCTGCTGTTACAGAAAAATCATTACACTGGTTAGTTTAACCTGTATATGCTGTTGCCGCATTAGTGAGAGTTCCTCGGGTGAGTAAATACTGGCGGTCGGTTTATTCAATTAATTAATGTATAGTTGTATTATATTCTGTGTTTATGATTGATATTGGCTTGCGTATATTTAATGAAGTATATAACAGGATAAATGTGTAATTAATTTAAAATAGATAATTTGATTGGGATAAATATGGACATACTAAATGTTTACTTTGCGATCCAATTCAAAAAGGTCTATAATTCGCAAAGTGCAATGAATCAGACTCTTTTCTGTACCTATCAACTACGAAAAATACAACATGTATTCGGTGCTATAGATCAATAACCACATGCTACACGGTTAAGTCTAATTGACGTTCTCTTGCATGTAGAACATGTAGGGAAGCCTTTATAAACAGCAGGGACCATATCAGCGACAGTTCAGCGACAGATATTCCACAGGGACTTAGGACCATATCCGAAACAGTTCAGCGCCAGATATACCACTGGGACTTAGGACCATATTCGAAACAGTTCAGCGCCAGATATACCACTGGGACTTAGGACCATATTCGAAACAGTTAAGCGACAGATATACCACCAGTACTAACGGCCTTATTCGAGACAGTTCAGCGACAGATATACCACTGGGACTTAGGACCATATCCGAAACACTTAAGGGACAGATATACCACCAGGACTAACGGCCGTATTCAAAACAGTTAAGCGACAAATATACAACTGGGACTAACGGCCATATTCGAAACAGTTCAGCGACAGATATACCACTGGGACTTAGGACCATATTCGAAACAGTTAAGCGACAGATATACCACCAGGACTAACGGCCGTATTCAAAACAGTTAAGCGACAAATATACAACTGGGACTAACGGCCATATTCGAAACAGTTCGGCGACAGATATACCACCAGGACTAACGACCTTATCCGAAACAGTTCAGCGACATATATACCATTTGGATTAAGGGCAATATCAAATATAGTTCAGCGACAGATACCGCCGCTATATTCGAGACTCTTTAGCTTCAAAGAAACCACTGCTCTTAGGGACTATAGTCGAGATTTCTCAGCGGCAAATGAACCACTGGCCCCGAAGACACTATTCGAGACTTGTAAGCGCTAGATACAGCACAATTACTGAGTACTATACGCAAGACATGCCAGTGACATATGTAAATGTGACACCAACATATATGATCAGTGGCAATCTACAGATTTAAAGGCAAGTTGACAAAAAGGATTTTAATGGACAGGCAAGGTTATGAAGCTTCAAACAGAAAACAGGAAGACTGCAACTTCTTATGCATGACGAATGCAGAAGTAATTTTTCCAATAAGTGCAGAAATACGTGTGTAGCCTTTGTTGTCTTTATAAAACCGATCATAGATATACGTGAGTGAGATTTGAAATATCATGTTAAACACCAGTGCTTTATGAATGCATAAAAACATTATAAAAACTGTTTAGAGTGCAAAGTATCTGTACATACGAAATAGATAAAACCTTGCAGCATCCCTCACAACTAATTATGTCATTAGACATAACTGCTGTCAAAGTGCTCTATTTGACGTGTTGTTTTATAAGCATCGTGTATTTTGCACACAGTAACATACATGGCTGTTATAATGTTACGAAAGATAGACGGTTTAAAGGCTTTCGATACAATATTATCAAGAACATATCTTTTTCTCGTTGCGCAACAGAATGTTTTCTTAGATCCGAGTGTTTGTCAGTCTCGTATAACACGAACAATATACATTGCAAACTACATAGTTCAGATGACCTAGCATTTCCAGAGAGGCTATTGACGGATAACGTATCCATCTACATTGGAATGTATGCATGGAAGATGGTAAGTAAAACTATTATGCCTTCAGGTTCCGTTTCATACAGAACCATTGGATTTATATCTACCAGCGATATAACTTATCATGAGCATAGTTCTTGTATAGTCTTTCTTGCTTGCCTTCTTCCTAATGTAAACTTCTAAAACTGCCACAATCCTTCCTTAATTTCGTTGCAAATGCATTTCATCATATCAGTGCAAATGGCAGAAAATTCTTAACCGACAATTTGTTCAAAATGTTAAATACTCAAAATGCTATAAATGTACAAAACTACACCATGCAATCAAAGGACAAACAAAAACAACTTCAGATCTCAAATTGATATGAAATAATAACAGCAGTGAGTCGATGAAATACCAGCTCAGAGGGATTTACTTAATAAAAATTCAAAGACGCGACATTAAAAAAACCTTCATATAGTACTGTCGTAATATTCTGTGCATAAACGTTATTGTTACCAGTGTACGTAATTTTCATAATAATGCTTAGTGAATAATTTCCACATTTTGATACGTAACATTAAAACGTCATTTTATTGAAACGAAATGTAATTTTACATTTTCGGCTGTCATAGTAGTTAGCTATCTCTGAAGAGATAAACTGTATCCCGGAAGAGTTTCGCTGCAATTTAACTTTTGCCTCGCAAAGTAATCAAATATGAAGGGTGGAATTAACATATTGTGAATATAGATTTTACCAGTTTAGGGCATAGTTTTCCAGATATACAGCATGTTCAGGGAAAGTATTGTGCATAATATTAGCGCCTTATTATACAACATCAGTTTTAGAAAACGTTTCGGTGGCTATATTTGAATGATACTTTTTTATAATTTAATCACCTAATAAACTTTCAAACTTTTGATCAAACGTAAGCCAAAAGACCACCTTGAAATTGCATTGGAAAATGAATTATAGATTGATTTAGCTTCTAATTTAAGTGCACCTTGTATCCCGATTGCTCTTTATTAACTACTTTTAACGCATTCAAATAGTGAAAGCTACGTCAGAAGCATAATTAGAAAATACTGTGCAAAAATTGTGTTCAAGATTTTCGAATCCATTGTACGTGTATCATCCTAATTTATTTACTCTTTACAAAATACAAAATTAATAAATTACGTCCAGATTTTGGAAGTCTTTATTAAATTTTGATGAGCTAGAATTGTATCATTGATGTGTGCAAGTACACCGGACATATCGAGTATGTTATAGTGTATTCACATGGGGTTGTCACGTTGGTTATACTGGTTTACTAATAGTAGGAACAAATACATGAGGTGCTATTGGGAAATCACATTAATACTGATGTAATAAGTTCCTTTATGAAATAAATGAGAGTGAAGGACGACACATTGTTCTAGATGAAGGGTGCACTGTATATGAAACATGATATTGACCACAGCATTTACACCTTGGGTACTGTTGTATCACTTAATTAGGAGCTTTTAATCATGTATATGCATACATTTGATACTACATATAAAATGCTGGAATTATTTCAGCAATTTCACTTATCAATTGTATTTATGGACCATTCGACGCTTACTGTATATATGAATGCCATTATACATGACGTCATACATGTATGTACCTTGTTTGCCTTTATTGTAACAAAGCTATGGGAACGTCTAAGTTACCATCGCCATAATAGAAACAGGTCAAAAAAAATAAACATAGAACACTGGGCTTCAAAAATAATTTATACATTGTTTTAATAGTGGTAATCTGTATGTCATGTAAAACAGCCGAGTAAATGGACTGGATTAACATGACAGACAATGTGATATAGCGGTGCACTGTCGAGGATAATGTTTGGGATTACAACCTTTTTTTTTTATAATATTACATTCAAACTTGTGGTGGCGGATATGGTGTGTAAGAACATTTTGAATGGTTTTATATCAGGGCCCGTATTCATAAAACTGTCCTCATTCTCTAACGCAGATTCTGTGCTTAAGTCCAAATTATCTTTCTAATGATAAATAAAAGAAAAATCACAATTTTCCGTGATTTGGGAGAATTGTTAAAGAGAGAAGTAAAGCAGAAAGCTATTTAAAATGTTTACATCTGTCACATGATTTTATCGAGTTACAAAGAAACTGGTTTGAGCACAGAATCCGTGCTTAAGGGCCTGTCACACACTACCGATGTACCTCGCCGAGACTAAACTGGAGCAAAACATTAACAACGGCGAGAAAATCGACAGAACTCCAGCGAGAAAGCACTCGAAAAATCTAAATTAATACAACTTGTCTGTCACCTCAGTGTAACCGATGCGCCCTCAATGCTATACCGAGGCACCGCCGTTGTTCTACCGATGTGTCACCCGTTGACCTGAGCTATAGCGGAGTGTACCGTTACGCTGCCGATGTGCCACCGTTGACCGGAGCTAAAGCGGAGTGTACCGTTACGCTACCGATGTGCCACCGTTGACCGGGGCTATAGCGGAGTGTACCGTTACGCTGCCGATGTGCCACCGTTGACCGGAGCTATAGCGGATCGTACCGTTACGCTGCCGATGTGCCACCGTTGACCGGAGCTATAGCGGAGTGTACCGTTACGCTGCCGATGCTACGGTAGTACATCGTTATTATTTTGGCGGCGCATCATTACTACTTCGGTAGTATTCGGTAATACTACGGTATCACATCGGTACCAATACGGTACACATTTTTTTAGCTGACGATGTACTGCCGTTCTTGGTGATGTGATACCGGTGTGCTGCCGTACTAGTACCGATTCCCGAAAATCTCCAAATTTGTGCTCCGGTGTAGCTCCGGCGACCCAAATCGGCTAGTCGTGACAGGCCCTTTAAGTATGAGAACGGTTTCATGAATACGGGCCCTGGACTCATATAATTCCTGGGTGGCAGAATGTTTCACAGACGAATCCAGTATTTCAAGTATGATTCGGCAATATTCATTGTCGAAGGAGAAATGACATATTTGTGATTTGTGAAGGGGAGTTTGCAAAGGGGAGTTAACAAATTATCTATATTTTTTCTTTTTCAATTTATTCGAACTCACTGATAATTTTGTAAAACATGACCAGAGAAAAATGGTTTCTGTGGGTTTTAAGTAAAGTTTGCATACTTATTCAATAATGTAACATGTTTATTCCAATCCACTTACAGACAGATGCACTTGGTGAGTGCGCTTCGAGACCCTGTCCTGTACGGACAAGGTGTACGCCATTAAGAAACCAGAACTATACTTGTGTAATAACAGGTCAGTAAGAACTACATCTTCAATTAGATTTATCAGTTTAGATATATGTTATATCTTGAAACGTTGCTTCACGTTTAACATGTACGTTGTTTGTGTATAAACAACACTTTGATATTAGCAACAACTAGTTAAAATACATACAAACGACAAGAAACCAACTCCTAGACAGTAAGCATACATAAGGTTATTTCTGCTTTAGATATACTCTGACTACTACTTTTCACAAGAAGTAAAACACAAATTGTATTGTAGGTCTGTATCATCAATGATCCAATCAGTTTATTACATGTAGTCTAAGACTGTTGGCGTCTCTGATGTGTTTCGAAGTTTGTTAAGGTAGAGCTCTTTAACTAGTGATGTTCCAATCCGCGAGTTCGACGTAATTAAACGCAAACGATGATTGAATTACTAGTAACAGCTGGTAAAAGGATACTTGTCAATGATTTTTCAGAGTGTGACGTGGGCGTAAAAATTCCACACCTTACTGGTAGCTGGAATGTTAGAAACGTGGGACGGACTAAATCAATCAGTTGTTCATCCAACTATTATCTGAACGGATCACAGATCAAAAGTACATGTTTACCAACCGGTACTTGGTCATATACGGACTCAATTGAAGCAGAATGTTTGCCAAACCCATGAACAACATTAGAATTAAAGATTTGTATACTACTTGTTAGACCACTTCAATAAAGGTTGTTCACCTGTTGTTTGTTATTGTGGTTCTTGTTTATTATTTTGGGTGATTATGAGAGGTTGAAATCTATTAGAGCTATATTGTACTCGAATATTTTATTTACTATGTAAATTTATTCATATCTCATCTCAATCGGTTGATGAAGTTTTATAATTAATCCTAAGTGAGAAGATGTCTAATTTGGTGTTTTATAAAATTTCACTGAGAGATCAATATAAACGGACATTTAACGACAATTACATGTCATTATTCCTTACATTACTAAAATTGATATGGCAGAGAATGCTTGTGAAATTTTTCAAGCGAGTGTAAATGAAAAGTGATCTGCCTAAATTATCCTCTCAGGGCTTGGTCGTATATTGATTGGCCCATGTGATTATACTGTATAACATGAAATGTTCGTTGTGTATAAACGTTAGTGATTTTCGTGGTTGCAATTGAAACCACGACAATATCTACCACGATTTTGAATGATATACGTGTCTACTGTTTGTTAATATAGGATATCCAAGAAAGTTTGTACCACGAAACAATCTAGATGGCTTCAAACCACGAAGGAAAGTACCAACGAACATAAATATGTTTGATCCAACAACCAAAATAGATTAGTTTATTCTCAACGTCGATGGTGGCTGGGGTTAGTTCTCTACGTACAGCATACCAGTAATCATACCTTTAAGTTGCTTAACTAGCGAGCTTAACACATTGCGTAGATGTACTTCGTTAGACACTAAAAAGCCAATAGTGATTAAAGTATCCGTTACAGCTCTGAACTCTTCCGTGTCAATGTTTTCAGAATGTGAGGCTAGCGTGAAATCCCATACCTCTCTGGCTAGATTAATACATTTGCGGAACAGAAAAAATCACTCCGTCGTTCACGAACCTGTTTTTCTAAACGGATCATCGATCTTAGAGACATGACAACCAAACGGTAATTTGCCGAATACAGCCGAGTATCTTTCACTAATCAGGTGTGCCTGAATTGTTTATGTTCGCGTTGCTGGAACTAAAACCTTTTCATTTCGCATTAAATTGGTCGTATGTCATAGGGGGGAAATGCTACTGTAACAGTTATACTCTAAAGTTTACCAACAGAATCGACCGCTACCATCATTGATTGGGTTATGAATGGCTGAGGTAACACTATCGGTTGTATAGTGTACAACTGATATTGTGTCAGTTACCTACAACTATGTTCATAAAATGACGAGATCAGATCACAGAAACAGGGAAAGTACCACACAGGGACCAAATACATAACACAAAGGTCTAAAAAAATATCAGGGGAATAAGATTGAAAAACAGAAGCAGTTTTGACTGAAAGATATAAGATAGGTGGAACCTCAAAAACAGCGGTTAAGCCGAATCATCTGCAAGGGATATGAGTCCTGTTCTACATATGGCTTCCGTCATGATTTCGTCTTCCATTTATCGACCATACACATATTATCGTGGTCCCCTTTAGTAATCGTGTAATCACGAAACAGAATTGTACATAATATTCATTGTTTTTCAAAGTTACTTTTAATCATTTAAATTAAATTGCCTAAACATGAAAATCAATCAACTACTGAGAAATATTTGCACATCATAACCAGAAATAATGAGATTCTGGATCGATCCAGCAAGGTGAGAGAGTACCTGGAAAAGAAACTCATTATCATTATTAAGGATTAGGGGTCTATCAACATGCGATTATTTGTGAGTTGATTGCTTCATGTTCTCTTTAACACAGAGTACATGTTTACAATATACTTATCGATAATATTCTGCAAACATAATTAATTATACTTAAAACGAATTCCATTTCCCGTTAATTACCTCCTGTGGTATTGACTAGTGCGAAGTCTTGATATAAAGGTATATATTTTAAATAGCAACTCTCATACTGAGTAAACCCTAGCCGAGGACACATTTGTTTTTCAAAACTCAGATAAGTTCCATGCAATAACAGATATCAAAGAAGGAAAAATGCAGCACATAATCAATAAAAAAGGCAACTCCGAAAGGTTTTTGAAAACAAAAGTGACTACGAAGACACCAAAACACACGGCCATATAGCATTGCCCAGTGCAAAATGTCGGGTCTGATATTTCCTCAACCAAGTATATATGTAGGTCACCAGTAATTCAGAATAAAGAAGCAACAATAAGGGTTTAAAGAAAGTTTACAGCAATAAGGGTTAAACAAAAATACAGTAACAACAAGAAATACAATGAAGACAAAACATATGTTTCTATCTTTAATTGTTAGCATAGAAAGAAAACAAATTCAATAAGGTGTTGATGATAGCCAGACAATTTTCGCAGTTGTGATTTATTCAACAGCTTCTAAGGACTATTTTTCCTTAACAGACGTTTTTAAGGAATGGTTAATACTCATACTAAAGAGACTAGGGACTCTGGTACTTGGTGTCACTGTTGTTTTAGTTTTAAAAATTTAAGCGCCGATGGTCCTCTTAATAAAACAATAGAGAAAATGTGACGCAGTTAAACTCTAAGTGCTTCTAAACCACTTCTGGATGTAGCAAACAGAGAATGTCTTACGAAGGTAGGTAGTCTGAAGACTCGGATATCTATGTGTAATGCATAGTGACATGTATAACAAGTATTCAAAAACTGAAGGTCTGGTAATAAAGGAGGAATAAAACGTTAATCACAGGGGCAGATGTCTGTACACACAAACAGGAACCAGAGTAACGCTTGGAATCAATTAGCATATAAAATAGTCTCGTCGAATTGGGATTGGATATATTTTAATATATGTGTCACAGAGAGTTGACATTTGGAGTTAAGACGACATTAGAATAGCTTTTCGAGAACGATTAAGAAATAGGGGTACTATCTTGAATTCAAGTTTGTCTATCTCATTTTTTCTTTGTGTTTGATGATATCAACTTTGAACTAATTAAAAAAAAAATTAAGGGTTGATACGACTTCTCCGGATGTATTCTTCATTCCCAAATACAATTCGTTTGTCATGAAACAGGTTCAAAACATTGTTGAATGACTTCACATAGAATGTGTCCATGGCCATGATGTAGTCTTCTGGGTGTTGGTATATTGCACTTTTCTGGATTGCGTTGCGCAGAAGTAGCTCAGCATTTGAGTCATTGATGATCATTTTTGATGGCTGGTGGTTGGGGTATGTCCTACAGTTTGATTTTTCTGAGCAACCAGTGTGCACATTTTGATAATGCTGGACAATATTGTCCAGACTTTGTTTGAGATTTTGAGCATTTCCCTCACATTCTCTGATGCAATAATGCACATGAGTTCTTATTGATGACACTTTTTCAGAGAGTTGTGAGTGCCACGTTATTCCATGTTTGTCCTGTGGACCAAATGCTACTCCTTTCAATAGTTTTTCTACCTGTTTACCAGCATGCCAAGTGTCATTCTGATTTTTCGTGGCGTGATTCTCCCGGATGTACTCGTTGATGGAAAGGTTTCGATCATGTGCGTGTGCTGATATTATAACTGGTCCTGGTTCGTGGTCTTCAAAATGTTGATATATCTTTTAATGTCGCTGAGCATATAAATCATCATCTTTGTAATTATTTCATCCAACACAACTTTGTGTGTTTCATACCCAATACAAACAACATCAGTCTGTCGGGAGTTTTTTCTCCAACCGTGTCGGGCATCTGTAATAATTTAGATACCTTCAAAATCCTCCATCTGGCCTTCATAGTTGTTAACAGCCGTCGCCATTTCGGTTGACAATGCATCCTTACAGGAATCGTTGTACTCATACGCAACCGCTAGGTTAAAATCGTGTGCAACATGGTCACGATGGAAAACCTCGTTCAATGTTCCAATATCAGCTGCTTCAGTCAGCCTCCTGAAATGATTGGGGATTCATCATCAAAGGCGAAAAAAAAAAGAAAAAAATTATCGATTAAGAAACGTACGAAAGCGCAGGTTAAGATGTTTTAACGAAAGACTTAACAACTGACTTTTTTAAACCTCATGGTTATGAGATGATGTTGGACTGATCTGAATTTAAGATAAAGAAAAACTGTGCTTTAATCAGCGGAGGTTACAGGCATTTGGCTCCGTATGCATTACGGAATGGTGAATAGTGCTATAGTTGCCTGACATTGCTGTTGCCAGCAGTAAACAGAAAATAAAAACGGAAACATGATCAAATAGTTGTAAAAGCATCCAGAATAATTTTGGAAACACATTATCAACAGTCTCTTGGGGATATTGAGACATACTGTGAAGAAGAACTTATACCAAAGGCATTTAAAAAGTCAAATGAATTCGTAAAGAAGACTGTCCTGGGTTGCAATATTACACAGAATAGGAAACGTTATCTCGTACCGATTTATCTAACGGCGATCACACTTACAGATAATCAAAGATTCACAAGGACGTAGCTACTTACGGATAAATTGTAAACTTATTCCCTACATAATGATTACCCAAATTATAGAATATGACCTAACCATTATGTTACATGTACTCTAAGATAAAGTTCTGGCTACACCTAATTTCTTGAATTGCCTGGACAAGATGAAGCTATTTTTTCTGTTTTGTTGCGATCATTGTAGAGAGTTTATATTGTTCGGAAAACCGAAGGGATGGGGAATAAAGTTTAAATTAATAAGAAAAACGAATTATTTGAATCAGAAATTCCAGTCAGGGAAATTATCAAAGAGAACATTGTTCTAACATGTTCGAACCCTTAACAAGACATGATACCGATCCTCGGGAGACACCTCGGCACCTAGGTTCGTAAAACATACACTCAAAGGGATGTGATTGTGACGGATGTTGTAGTATAAGACTAGTAGAACTCTTAAGAAGGTTGTGCACGTCTGTCTGGTCATTTACACAGATGACCCTTGTGTCATTGAACACCACTTGAAGAAGTAAAACGAACGACTCGTTGACATGTAAAACGGATATATCCATAGGGGAAACATGGCATGCATGAGTCAGAAAATGTGTTGGAAAATATTGTGGCG